ATACCAGGCTGTGAGTCCAAATTGGGACTTTCAGAGAAGCTCCTCAAATATTGTGCCCAAAAACTACTCTAGTTTGTAACATGCTGGACACCTCTCTGAGGGGTCAAGAACATCTCCTGCTTTCAGCCACTCCAGTGCGAATCTGAAGGGTCTCTCCTGGTTCAGACAAGGGCAATATCGCTGTTACATTTCCACATGGAATTGCTCTGGAAGAGCAAGAGTGACCTTCTCCTCCCCGGTGCACGCAATGAGCCCATGTGGTTGCCTCTTTCCAGAGAGAATTGGTCCCACATTGAGTGGCAGCAATGAATTTAATTGGATTAAACTTTGATACATATTAAAGATACGTTGGTTTCTATATAAAGTAATATACTTAATTAGTTCAGGAAGTCTGTTAAATATTACATAAGGTTCCCAATGAGTTCCCTGCCTCCGGGTCTCCGTAGGCAGCGGCGAGCTGGGGAGCTGACATTTGCACATCTTCTCCCATAGGAGAAGCTCTGAGGAAAGCTATAGTTCCATAAGTGGGTTTGAACTAGACCCTGCTAATTGCTAAGCATCATTAAGTTGTATAAAGTTTGATTAAGTGTTAAGGAGCACACGCTCCCGCAGCTTGTGCCAGCCAAGGTCCAGAGAAGCCCAGCTCATTTCTCTACAGCTGCTGCTTTTCAGCATCCACATGGGAACAAAATTGGCTTTGATTAGAAACCACTCGGTCTTTCTCAAATGCCCCTACTCAGCTTCTAAGCTATGGATCTTATTAAGAGCTTTAGAAATGAAGCCCAGCCCTGCTTCCTTAAAGCATCACCTGAGGAAGAACAAAGTTTAGCTGATATTTTTTCAAAGAACTGTAACATTTACTCTTCCATGCAGCAAAATGATTCCAGCCTAGCTTGTAACAGCTGTATTATGCCTTGTTATTCAGACCCTGCCATCTCTCTTTGAAAACATCTATTGGTCTTAGCAGATGCCAAATCAGCCCAAGCTGACAGATGTTGGATGACTTTTGTTCTTATTCCCCTTGTGCTCTGAAATTTTAATTTCAAAATGCAATATCGAATTGGCCTTGACAAGAACCAGGTGTTAATTCTGATCAGACAGTTTCTTCATTACAAACCATATTACTCACCCTGTTCGGCTGTGCTTTCCTCCCCAGAGCAGCCAAACTCAGCATTTCTTTGCCCAGGGTGGAGCACAGGACTGGGAATGTGACTTTGCTTGGTGACAAGGTTATTCGTGATTAGTTAGTTAGTTCCCAAGGAGCCAAAATCAGTCACTGCAGTTTGGGACAGGCCCAAGTGAGATCAGCCTGGCTTGTGAGGAAGGAAGGAGGGAAGGAAGGAGGGAAAGAAGGAAACTGAAATAAAAGGAAAGTCATAGCAAGCGGCCACCTGAGAGCAGAGCTACAGGGACTGTCTTTACCTATTTGAAAGCTGAGTTGCATTTTTGAGGACTGTTCTCATCATTGCCTTGCTTAGCAAATAATAAACCTGCTAAATTAACCCCCTTGAAACCTGTGAAGGAGAAAAAAACCCTCACTCTGCTACCGGAGAAGTCATTGGGACATCTGGCTGAGCAGCAGGACGAAGCGCCACGAGAGCTGATTCATTAAGTCCCGTCCAGGTTTGGGCTGACACGGTGTCTATCGAGCCTAATGTCTCCAAGTTTGACAGGCAAGTTGCTGTTGCTGTTTTTAAAAGGAAAAGATATCAAAGAGCGGTGTTTCAGCAGAGAGGCAGCTCTGGAAGGGGACATGGTTCCCTGGCAGGTTCTGAGCCCTCTCCACTGATGCTACCTGTTAAAAATTCCTATTGGGCTTTGGCACCGCTGGTTATGCCCTGCTGATGGGAGAGGGGAACTCCAAGAAGGGAATTTTCAGAGCCAAAAATACAATTCTTCACAATAAAAGGCAGAAGAAAAGGAAATAAAACAATGGCACAGGTTGCATGCTGACAGATGCTCGGGACAATGCCGGGGCAATTCAGCAAAGACACGAACACAAAGTGAGTTTTTAATCATCCTGTGCTCCAAATTGGCCCCTCTAGGACCTCCAAACTGAAGTGATGCACAGCAGAAGCCAGTGTCACTAAGCCACTTGCATACAGAGCCTCTATAAAATGCCCAGTGAGTGAGGCTGGTTGCCCTTTTCCCCAAAGCAGAAGGAGATGGTCACCGTGCAGGAGCACTGGGGCACCCAGCACAGGGTCTGCAGCAAAAATCCATTTTTTGGATGCTGGAGGCTCCAGCTTCCCAGACAGATGGAAGTCTCAGAAGCTGCTCCTCTCCTGGCCTGGAGCCTTGGCATCACAGGGAAACTTCTTTTAAAGATAGCAAACACCGAGGAATTCATATGCAAGCTATCTGCTTTCCAGAACTGCTTCCCAGCTTCCTTTGTTCCACTACCAAGGTACTTCTTTTTTTTTTTGTAAAGTTTATTAGATATTTTTTTCCTTCTGCAGAAGCACAAGATAAATATCAGGAAAACTATAGACTGCTCAGCTCTGTCATCTCTTATTTATCTAATATTCTGGGCAAATTACTCTGGATAAACAATAATTTAGAAGTGGCAGCATTACACTTTGCAAATCACTTTGTAAGTTACCTTAGGTACCAAGTACCATCCCAGCTTCCTATCTGAATAGCAAAAACTTTGTGAATAATGAATGACAGCAACCAAAGAGCAAGCAGCCCGTGGTGATAACACGGCCGCATGCACACAGGAATTTGGCATTTGTAAACATGTTAATGAATATTAATGATTCTCTGAGTGTAGATCACTGACAGCAGCAGAACTTTTTGTTTTTACACCCCAAACGGAGCAGATCATCTCTGTTTGGGAGCACAGTGGAATTACAGAGCTGATCTGCCATTCACCATCCAGCACGGGATCGGTGGGAAGCTGGTTGGCCTTAAATCAAAGCAGCTCTGAAGTCTTGCACAAAGGTCTTCAAAGTCTCCCCAAAGGTGCACCCACCACTTCGAGCTCAGCCCTGAGCTTATTCCTGGCTGGAAATGGGCTCATGTCTCTGTGCTGCCTCTGTGCTCCTCACTCTGCCTGGTGGCCCTATGCTCAGCCCTTTGAGCCCTGTTCTTCAGAAAGGTGCCAGACCCGGGTCAGCCGGTGCAGAGGGGACTCCTGGCCAACATCCCACTAGGGACAAGGCAAGCCTTGGCCTCTGTTCCTCACCATCAATGCAGAGAGCTCGAGGCATCCCCAAAAAGGAGCTGTGCCCACAGCCCTGGGTGGGCACCATCCACACCCCAAAGAGGAGCATGGCAGGGACCACTGGCAGGGTCCCAAGGAATGTCCTGGGTGGAGAGATGGATGTTCTGCAGGGAGAGGGTGATTCCAGGGGAATGGGGAGGGTCTGGGGAACGCAGGGATGCTCCTGGATAGAGATGTGGGGATGCTCTTAGGGATGCAGAGGTACCTCTGAAGATAGGTGAGAGGATGCTCTTGGGGATGCAGGGATGCTCCTGGGTGACCGGGAGGGATGCAGAGATGTTCTGGCAGCTGCTGCGATGCTCTGGGGGGATGAAGGGGATGCAGGGATGCCCTGGGTGAAGGGCACATAAGGTTGCTCTGGTGAGGATGTGGGGATGCAGGGAGGCTGTTTGGGGGCGATGTGGGGACGCTGCTCGTGGCGGGTTGCAGGGAGGACGTGGGG